GGGCTACCGAAGCGGGGGTGCCATCCCCTCTGCAGAGGATCAAAATTGTGATGGCATGTCTTCGGATCATCCTCAGGGATGTTTCCCAGACCGTCGCCAATAGCCCATTGTGCAGCTCTAGTGCGACGTAAATGAACAACAACAATATCTGTCAGTTTTAATTTGTTTTCATTGATCAATATTTAAAGTACAAAATTTTACATTTAAATGTGACTTTTTCGCATTGGATTAAAATAATGTAGTTATACATCTATAAATTTGAAAATTTATTTAAAATTTGTTACTTTGTTAATTACTAAAACAAACTCCTTTATGCCCTCTAGTACCCATATCTGATTATAAAAGATTCGTCTTTTACTGTTTCTACAACAACAAAGTGAAAATATAGAATTCCAAACATCTTTGTTGTCTAGAAATTACCGACAGATGAAAAATATATCGCTGTTCAGCTGAAATTAAGTAGATAATTTAATTTTCTTCTGAAATACAAGTCACGTTTATAGTTTAAAGGAAAGATCACGATCTTTATCTTCGACGTATTTTAAAGTAATTTAATCTAATAAAATATTTGTGTTTGATTATGGTAAATACATAAATTTTATTCATTAAAATAAAAGTTTATTAACTCTTAAGACTCCTTATATCATAAACATTAAGTTTGTTTCCTTAAGTTAATTCAGATGTATTTAAAAACACTTTTTTTTAATTAAAAAAATAATTTTTTTTAAAAGTAATTCATTACCTTATTTACATTAAAACATTCAATTTCAATATTTTAAATTGATATTTTCTCATGTTAATGTGCTCTCGTTAAAGTTTGAAAGTTTAATGTCTATAAAAATTTTTAGCTCTGCGTTTAAACATTATCATGTTTTTAACTAAAATACATTAATGCAAATGTTGTTTAAAACTCACGAGTTAGCATTTAATTTTTTTATTTGTAACTTAGAAAAAAAAGAAGAAAACTTCTTAAAATATTTTTATTCCTATCGGTGATATTATTTTTTTTCCTTAATTAAAAAATTTGTCTTTTTATCTGCATTTACCTTATTTTATTTAACAAGTTTAAAAGTGTATTTGAATTGATAATTGGTTTTATAATTATGTTTTTTTTTTAAAAAATGGAAAAAAAATCTCAATATAAAGTTTTTATTTAAAAAAAATCAGACAAATTTATAATTTAAGAAAGCAAACAAATTTATAGTTCGGAAAACAAGTGACTGTTACTTTTTGTTTCACGAAACCAATTTTCTCGACTGGAGTGCAAATTATTGCCTTATGTTTAAAAACACAGATCACGTAATCTTGTTTCAATGTTCATTTAAGGATTGTCGAGATAATTACGCCGTTAACTGTAAAGTCGAGTGAAAAAAGTTATAGTGAGTTCGAAAATTTAAATTAATAAAACTTTACAAGAAAAACTTGAAGATAATGAAAAATAGCTAAACTAATCGTCACTTGAATTACTTGTTTAAAACAGTTCAAACAAATAGCTTCAAATAGCCTTATACTTTTTAAAATATCTATGTGATCAGAGAAGTATTTAAATTCTAACTTAAGACGTATAAAGAGTAACATAATATTTAATCTGTTTTTCATTTAATTACGAGACATTTAAAAATATTTATATAACATTTACAGTACTATTTACGAGACAGTAACTAACCCGTGACTGCACGAGTTCGAAAACTTCCTATTTATTGGTGGAAAATAAAACCCACGCTGTTTACAAGTTTCATTTCATATTCTTACAAAAAAGTTAAGCAGGTTTTTTTAAAAGAATATATTTTTAATAAGTATATAAAGAAAAAAATATCCTTTTGATTGCTTTCATATGCTTTGCCAATAAATTAATTTAAACTTGAAAAATAAAGAATCAGTTCTAGCCGCATTCAGCAAATAACCCTTTTTTTAAAGCCACTAAATATATGACATAGACTGCATATAATACATTGATTGCCCTCATTCCACAAAGAAAGGAAACAATTTATTTTCCTCTTCCAGTGGATTTTGCATTCGGTAAGTCATTCTGAACACTTTTATAGCAGAGCACAAGATACCACAATTTTCTTTTCGGAAGGAATGTTATAAAATTTCAATGGATAACCTTACTAGAGCTTCTATTTTGATGTTACTAAATTTCGTAAGTCCAATAAAGTGTCCGAACTTGTAGTTAAAATCTCAGTCTTAAAAGAATACTTAGTTGCGGTATTGCCATAAAATGAGAAATGCATGGAAATTTTTATTGCTTATTTGATATCAGTTTTATAAACTTCTCTCGAAAAATACTGCTGACTTTGCTTTTTTTATTCAAGTAAGTAATTCTTTAGAAAAAAAAATAACTAACGCATGTTAAAATGAATAGTTGAGAAGTAATTGATATTTGTTATGAACTCGTTAGAAAATATTTGATTTTGAATTAAGTATATTGAAAACAACGAAATGATACATTGATTCTATTGAAACTTTTGATCGAAGATTGCTAGATAACATCTTTTGCGAAGGAAAACTATACAATGTTGTTGGACACTCATACTAAGGTTTCGCTATTTTACTATATTTCGTTTCATCGATAAGTTGAAAGTTAAAAGCTAAGTTAAAAGTTAATAGAAATTAAAATTACAAAAATATATATAATGGTTCTTGGAAAAAAATTTACAAATTTGCTTTCAGTTATCAAAATAAATGATTATTGTATTGAATTTATTAAAAGCTGATTGAAAATACTTGACACTTATTAGTCATAAGTTTTTATATTTCTCGTGTTATCCATTTCCTTTTCTTTTACTTGAATGAATTAGTTTATCTTACCCATATGAATAAATAATTAATCTAAAACCAGAAGGTGTAAAATTGCTTTCATTGCAAAAACTGATTATTGTCATTTATCTATTAAATAAAAATGCTATTTATAGAAAAAAATTAATGTATTTAATTCATTAAAAAAATAAATAGTTGTTTGGTTCAATTCAGTATTTAATATAAATTTCTCGCTGCTTACTGAGACAATACTTATTTTATTTCTCTTTCAAGCAAATAAACTTTCTTTTGAAAACCGTTCAATACGTGCTTAGTTTCATTCATTGAAAGATAATGGAATGTAGAAAAGAATAAATACAAATGAATTGGTTTTAGTTTCAATTCATTAAGAATAAGACCTTGTTGAGTTGATTCATTGAAATCAATCGTTTTATATTCATTCAAATGCTTTAACTGCTTGACTAGTTTCAGTGTAAGTAATTAATAATTAAGATAGTTAATTAGTGCATATAAGTAAGAGTATGTGAAACGAGAACTTACCACTTACATCGTACTTTACTCCATTGAATTCAGGAAAGCATGACACAGAGGCTGTACTCCCTGCTAGTGTAATCGGCCAACATGTCAAGCCATCCCACGTTGCATTACAAGCTGCTGCACCGTCTGAAAATGAAAAACCATAGTATTGAAACATAATATCTTGTATTGAAAAGCAGTTCATAATTTTCATTCAATATTTAACATAAACTTGATTTGATATGATATATTATATAATGGATTAAAGAATTTAATAATATTTAATAATGTTAAGCGTTTGCTTTAATTCATGCATTTTTAAATAGTTATAGTTGTTGTTATTTTTAAAAAAATTATCAATAGTTGATCTGTGCATAATAAATGTGTTCTAATTTTGTTTTGTATACAGTCATTTAAAAGGATTGAGTTAGTTTTTCTCTAAAAATAGTGAAATTTTTTGAACTCAACTTAAGTTGAATACATCTATGTTTGAGTCAAATACTTGTTTTGCGTTAAGTTGAGCTTGAGTTGAAGATTTAAGTGATATTTGAGTTATTTTCCCCCAGGTATGATTTGATGTGTAGCAACATACCAGTTCGAAGAGACTGTTAAAAATAGATTCTATTTATTTATTATATTATTGTGTGTGAGCGATAAGCTGGAATTTGTATCGTTTTATTTTGCGGAGATATGCTGGAACAACCCACCTAAATAAAAGTGGTATGTTCTCGCTTCGACTTACGTTTTGAAGAATATTTAATTTTTAATTGTGTCTTTCATATTTTTTAAATAAATAAGAATTTAAGGATCATTTTATTAGAAGATGTTTTTACATGCATTGTATTATAAATTTATCCTTTTAAAAAAAGTGAAAAATTTATATTTTAAGAAAATTAAATATTATTTTGAGTTTTTTATATTATTACATGCTCTCACTATAACTTGTTCTCAATGTGACCAATATAATTAAGTATGGATCTATAATTATATCCAAGCAGTTCACTGAGTTGTGGATTTGATACAATGTACCACAATACAGCTTGACAGTTTTTATTTTGGTTTTAATTTTAACGCAACATTACAAATGAGCATTATTTAAAACAATACTTTTTTATTTTAACTCTTTTTATTTCAACACGATCATTAAATGTTTTTTCATTTTAAATGTTTTTTCATTTTTTGTCAGTGGTTAAAACCCAAAAGATTTTGGCTGGACTGCTGATGCTGATTGATATGAATTCTACTTCCGGCTCGCACTGATCGTAAAATATCTTTAGTGGTAGACGGATTATGGGTTAGAATCCCCTTTCTGTCTGGCTAACTGTGGGAAGTTTCCGGGATTTCCCTCTCCATGTAACTCAAATATGACTTAGTTCCATCAAAATGTCCTCCAAGAAGGATAATTTGTCCCAATGCTTGATGCAGGAGTTCCCTTGTCTTCTTGGTTAAGTTCAAAATTACTAGGCTAAGAAGTTAAATATTGATATAGTCGTAAATTCAGAATTGTCTCGATTGTTTAGTTCAATCCCGTTTGTGAAAATAAAAAAATATATTTAATAATGAGATATGGCTGCATTAGTCCGTTAAGTGTAAGCGTGTCATATTATGTTTCTAACGATTGTTGACTGGTCAGAACCTTCTTTTCTCTTTTTGGAGAGTTTTCCTCTTTGTGTATTTAACATTGTGTGAGATTTCAAAATTTAAATTACAAAAAAATACTCTCTTGTGAAAATAAATATGTGGCAAATATTTTTTTGTTCAAAAATTCAGATTTTTGCGCAGGTGTGGTTACGTGTCATACCCTTCGAGTTGGTCCCTTCCCGTGAAGTATATTTTTTAGTTTAGTTTCTCGCGTGCCGCTGCCCGGAAGTTGTCAAGACTTAGCGATTCTCCTGCCGTAGATCACGATACGGAAATCTCCTCTTTTTTCTCTCACTTAGACCAAAAGAAGTGATATATATATTAATATGTATGTACTTGTATAACTACATACTTTGTTAATACTTATGCGCATGTAATGCATGGATGTACAAAAAAATAGTTATATGCACAATGTATGCATGTGCATACAACGTATACATGTACATAATTACAAGTAATGTACAAATACGTGCGTACATTTAAATATATGTAATTACAATATACACATACATTGTGCATACATTAAAAAAATTTATATGAGTAAAGTTATTAAAATTTGTTTTAAAATTATTCTAAGGTATATGAAACTCGACCTCATATTTTTTAGAAAGCAAACGATAATTTTATTTGGAATTTCTAAATATTAATTCCACACATAAAATTTACCGTTTTTCTTACCATTTAAAAAATTTCTATGAATCATGCATTATGTTAT